GTTTCAAAGAATATCGATAACCGAGGTAGCATAATTGTCGTTTACCATGGGTAGATTCAGTAAATATAGCAGACATTTTTAGGAAGAGTATGATAAGAAAATTATATTCTTTGAATTTATATATATTTTTTATAAATTTTTGTCATATTAATGACTATTTTACACCCTCCCCCCCAATTTGATGAGCATCCCTCATTTTAAATTGAAAATTTATTCCATAGTTCGCTCATTGGTGACTTTTTGTTTTTCAACATTTATGTAATTTTTTTTGTTCAGAAAAGGGATTGATTGTCAAGACCATTACTCATTTATTAATTTCTCTTCTTCGAAGCAATTAATGGACAGTAAATCCTCAACCAAAAAATACAATAATTGAAATATTCTATTTTTTCAATCAAAGGAAAAATTTCTTTTCTTTAATATTTGCCGACAACAAGAAAACAAACATACTTCATCTTTTCATTGAATCTCCGAGAGCAGTTGAATTATCGAACGATGATTTGGATCTAAAACAAACTGAGAATCGATCACTCGTTTGAGAAAAATATACGAGCACTTACTCTAGCAGTAATTTATAACCTGGATAATATAGTATACGTCTCGAGGGCGCCACTGCTCGCTCAATATAACAGGGGCGCTAATGTTCTAGTTCCGCTGCTAATATTATAGTGTTATTTAAATAAAAAACAGTTGAAAAATTTATTTAAAATATTATTAAAAGAATTGATTTAAAAATACATATATTTTTTGTCACACTTATATTTATAAGTTTCTAATGATTGGCTTATGGTTTAGAGGTTTTTTACGTCAACAAATTTTCTTATGGTTGATTTCATTACAAAGATATTTTTTTTGTGTTTTGATAATATTGCTTTTTTCCTTTTTTTTTTCTTCTTAAGATTAAAAAAACCGAAACTTTTTTTTTTGAGTATCATGGGTGTTGGTGGACACAAACATCATTTTAATGATAGTCATATTGAAAAAGAAATGAAAGGAATTGGTGATGCTGTATGTTTAAAGAGAAAAAAAGAAAAAACAAGTTTTTGTTTTGTTTTGTTTTGTTTTTCTAATCAAATAGGATCCATTAACAAAATTAAAAGAATTATGTAGTGAAGATCATGCATGTGAAAAATTTAAAAGTCGTTTACAACAATGTACGGATAGGGTTCAAAATAAATCATATACGAAAGAAACATGTAATGAAGAATTATTGGATTTTCTTCATTGTGTTGATGAATGTGTAAGAAAAACAAGAAAATATACGAATTAATAATATATATTTTCTCTCTTTGTTTTTTGTTTCATTTTAGTGGTCACCACATATATTCAAATATTTGAAATAATTATCAAATTAGAGACATTGAGTTTTAGTCGTAGATATATGTCCAACGCTATTTTCCCTATTCTGATTGTCCATTTCTTTTTCTTTTTGTATAAGAAAAATAACAACAGAACACGTTCTTTCGTTTCGATTTTTTTCTTTTTTTGGTTTAACCTGAGTGAGTAAATTGGAATTAGACCTTTTTTGTTTATTCCACTACAGATGGCTATGGCTGCTACCCGTTTTTTAATTCGAACTGCAACGGCAAGTCGTAATCCTGTTTTTAGACTAATGTCTGCACGTACACAAGCTACATCAACTGCTCCAGCATCTGGATCGGCAGCAGATATGCTTTTTACATTTGCTTCACCATCTGAAGTAAATTTTTTATGACATTAGAAAAAAAAACCAAAACAATCAAATTTAAAAATATTTTTGTTTATTTATTTAGGTTTTTTATAGTCAAGCAAAGAATGTTCGTCAAATCGATGTTCCTACAGTGAGTGGTAATATGGGTATTCTTGGTATGTAAAATTAAAACAGACAAAAGACAATATATATTTTCGAATTTGAAAACATTTATAGCTCATCACGTACCAATTCTTGGTGTGCTTAAACCAGGTGTTGTCTCGGTTTTTGAAGTAGATGGAAATACAAAACGATTTTTTGGTAAATAAATTTTTATTTTTGATATTTCAATCATCACCATGGAAAAATAATGGATTTTCTAGCAGTCCAGATTCCTTTTTACGTGATAAATGTTTTTGTAGCACAAAATTCCAGCGAAGTGATAAACCTAGCAATATTTATTATATTGGAAAGCAATGGAATTGTAATTCGATTGAAGACTAGTGTACAGAATTCTTCACAGTCTTGTAGAGTTTCTTAATCTTTCAATAACTCTCGAATGTAAGAAAAATATCGAGATGTAACAAGGTAACTCTATTGGATGATCTTAAGAATGTTATTTAATTTGCTACAGAAGTTATAGTAGAATGAACAATTCTTGTTTTGTCGCTCTTATTTCCTTATATGAGTTTCAATAGTAAATGTTCGAAATAATAGAAATTAGATAATACTAAATTCTCATATTTTATGTAAGTAATAGAAAGATATTTTGGAATACTCGTTGTAATTTTGAAGTAAACATAATATTCCACAGTTGATTATTTGAAAAGAAGTCATCACATTGCAAAAGTAATGTTCTAGCTGAATTTCAGAAACTATTAAAAACTAACATTTCAATTTCATATTATCAATAGAAATGAGTCACGGTTATATTTTGATAAAAATAAAACGTTTCATCTCTTTTGACGCAAGAATCATTTGCATTTTGTAGTAAAAGAAGGCTAAACTTGTTGAATTATCAATATTGACTATTAACAATAATCGTACAATTTTAGAAGTCCTAGTAATCATGGTCGGGTAATGTTACTCAAAGAATCAATAGGCAAAACCTAACTTTTGATTTCAAGATTCTTTTTTTGTCTACAGATACTAAATGGTATTCTACATTTTCAATTTTATTGGAATCCAGGTTTTTTAAAAACTCATGTTTTTGAATTTTATTTTTTAGAACTATTTCCATCTCGAAATCTTAAATACAGTAGCCTCTATGAAAATTTTCATAGTTTCAACACTTTGTATCTCCAACCTTGGAATTTTTCCAACATAGACGCTTTTTCATACAAAAATAATTTGAAAAATTTCGATCACAGAAATATGAAATCTTTAACCTTTGAAACACTTCACACCAGCTACTATATTTTAACATCTTCAAAAGAATGTAGCTTCAAGTCAAGGTTCAAAACACGAGTTTTCCAAAAACTTGGAATCCTGGTACATATGCATATTAAAAACTTGATAGTTTCGTCAAGTCTCAATAATAATTCAAATTCTTTTTGGAAGGAGACATTCGAAACGGCTTTCTCATTAGTTTTGTATGTCATTATTAACATCTCAACTATTAAAGATTTAATTGCTTCTAAATATGACTGATGTTTCTAGACTTATAATTTTCTTACTTTATGAGTTAGTTGGGTCAATTTAAAGAACTCGTTTTATTGTACTTTTGCGTTGCCAAGATACTATACAAAAAGAAATAAAGCCTTCTTAATCATCGTTTATATGTAGAAGAATAAATACTCACATCAGTTCATTGAGTACTAACAAGTTATAGAATGATATAGTTCTCTTTTTCAATAAATGAGTTATTGAAATTTCAATAGAACCGAAGAAATCGGAAATTAGATGCATTGTTGTGTTATTCAGGAAGAAAAATACTGAAGATGAAAAACATGAATTTGATTATGATACGTGATTTTTACCATTAGATAGAATTAAAGTGTTTACATCAGTTCATATGTACTCAAAGAATCAACTGGTCGCATTAAATAAGACAGCATTACGAACTTTGATTTTTATTGTTCAATCTCATAAAATAATTGACTCAAATTATACATAGATAGTTCACGAATACTTCATATCATTTTTAATGTTATGGGTAACTATTTCTATTAAAAATTATTCAAGAAAAAATACACTCAGATACCTTGTAACGTAGTTGGAAGATCTGTGACTAAAACAAAAAATTTTTCTTGCCATCAAAATAAAGCAAAAGAGAAATCAACTTATTTAACAGGAGAAAATCCTATAAAATTACTAAACTTTATTAATCATCAATTTATGGAAATAGTGTTCATTCAGAAAAAAATCTATTGGATTGTATAATTAAATAAAAGAACAAGCTGTTTAAATACTTTCTATTAACCTATTATTCCATCATGATGGATAAGAGCTTCTAAACTTATATGATCATTGATATTAGTGAATGCTCATCACTCAACAAGTTTAGGCTTCTGTTACTAAATGACTCGTGAGATATAAACAGTTCATTTCTTTTAGTATGTTATAGTCAAAATTCCTGATCAAGAAAGAGATAAAGGCATTTTCTTGTTATTAAAATATAACTGTGATTCGCCTCTATTTACAATAGGAAATTGAAGTGTTAGCTCTTAATAATTTCTGAAATTCAGTTATTTAATGATCGAACATCACCTCTGAAGTTTGAGGCCTTCCTTCAAATATCAACTGTCAAGGATCATTTTCATTTCAAAACTGCACCACATATCCTAAAATGTCTTTCGATTATGTACAGAAAATATGTATGTTAACTGTTATATAATTCGAGTAAGTCACAACATTTGCGATTGAAATACACACAAGGAGATAAGGATGAGACATCAAAGGTCATGCTTTTTACCATAACTTCTATGGTAGATATTCGTCGTACTTATCAAAAACATTTAATAAATATAATGTAGAAAAAAAAACATCAATAGGTTGAGTATTATTAAGAAGACTGCACATTCGCCTTAACTCTCAGGTCATTTCATTTATTCTATAAATATTTTTCTCATAGACATACAGTCAAAATAGATAACATATTTGAAATCATTTGATAAAACTACATTGTTACATCTCGATACCTTTCTTGCATTCGTGAGTTATTCAAAAATTAAGAAACTCTACAAAACCATACTGAGTTCTGTGCTCTGGTACTTAAAAAGATTCATAAATAAACCACAAAACTTTATTCCGAATCTAAAATGAACAAAATTTTCCAAATTTCTACAGTCCTTTCAGCCCATGCAACTAGATTCTGTATTTCTACTTTATAATTTAAAATGTATAGTAATACCTTTTTTCATCCAATTGAATAAATGATTGATCAAAAGTTTTATACACAAAAGTCCTCATGTCATTGACAGACCCATTCATGAAGATTTTGTTTCTTTCAATAAAATGCATTTGATTATTTCTTAAAAATTTCTTATTTTTTAGTAAGTAGTGGTTCAGTTGCAGTTCATCCAGATTCATCAGTTCAATTATTAGCTGAAGAAGCAACAGCTATTGAGAATCTTGATTCGAAAGTAAAACAAAAAGATTTTCTTTAAAAAATAGATAAAATTGTTTTTCTATTTAATTTAGGCTGCACACGATGCTCTATCTGAAGCCCAACGTCGATTAGGTACAGCCAAAGATGACAAGCAAAAAGCCGAAGCACAAATTGAAATTGATTGTGCTGAAGCTGCTATTAAAGCTGCATCTGGCGTCTTTCAATAAATTTTATAGCAAAACAATACGAAAAAAACAGAACACAAACAGTGTGTAGTTTATTAAGATCATTTAGCTATTTGTCCATTTTTCTTTTTTCTTTTCTTTGTTTGCTATTAAATACACAACATTCATTCATTGAACCCAAATAGATAAATCTCTATCTCTTGTGTTGTTCTTTTTTTTTCAGATGGCTCTTTCTCGCTTAAATCGTATCATAGCCGTTACTGTTCTGATAGTTGCTATTATTTATGGATGGAAATGTTTATTTGAAAGTCGACGTCCACCATGTTATACAATTGATGTCAAATATTTTGGTTTAAACATTCCAACATCAACTGATACAGAAGATGTTTCAATAAAACCATTTAAAATTCCATTTGATCGATCACAAATTGATGATATGGTTAATCGTGCACGTAAAACACGACTCTATGAACCACAAATATTAATTGATAATAAACATGTTAATAAATCCACATATGGTTTTAATCGTCAAACAGTGGAAATGATTCGAGATTATTTAATTAATACATATGATTGGAAAAAGACGGTACAAGAATTAAATACATTTGATAATTATAAAACAAATATTGCTGTAAGATATTTTTTTTGTTTCTTTTTATTTTCTGAATTAATCGACGAGTAGCATTAAGGTCATTTTTTTGCTTAAAATATTTTCGAAACATAGCTATACAAGGGTAACAAAGTTGATGTTAGCTATAAATCTGAGTTACTTATTTTCATGAAATTACTTTGAGATTCCTAATCCGGCAAGAAATTTCGAGAAAAAGTTTTTTTTCAGAACTAGCCAGAAGTATTACGTCGACTACGCTGATCACGAATATCACTATTACGACTTAAGATCCCTTACTCAGTGAGACTAATCGCTCAGAGGTCTTCTATATATGTAAACTTCAAAGCTCTACCTGAGCACGAATGAATCAAAGTTATCAGAAACACTTAACTGTTTTTAATGTCGAAACAGGTAGAATCAACTTGATATAAGCAAAAGCGCTTCTCGTTCAATAACTCCTGCCTCACTATATACTTTTGAAGTTAAGTAGCACTGTATTGGTTAGATGTAGTTGTTCATGCTCTATCTGAAAATGCTTTTGCATTGATACTTAAAGGTTGATATCACACCAAAAATTGCGATAGTACGAGCAAAAATATCTTTTTATTCTTATCATTCATGAACATTTTGGTCTTTCTAATCGATGATCATCTACAAAAATTTTTCTGCTCATTTGTGTTGCAAAACATGCATAGACACTTATCATAGGGTACGAAAAGTTTTTGTCATAATGAGCACTTCGTTCTTAAGGTATTAGACAGACAGCAAACGTATAAGTTTCATACGGAAGCCAGAAAACTCACTTGTATTAAATATCTTATAATGCTGGAAGAATACTTTTATTTAGATTGAAACGTTTGTAGATTATAAACACCATGATATGCCTTCATTGATAGAATTAAAGATTCTAATTCGAGCATTCGATTTTTCTTGAGAGATTGTAGCATAAATCAAAAAGCGCAATGATTTGGTGATAAATCGAGAAGACAAACCAATGGAGACCAATCCTTTTGGAGTTCTTTAACTTATACTAAACATTAATGAATAGGACAAGTTTTATCTCAAAACTAATTTACCACCTGCAGGGATTCGCTGACAAATATTATATATTTTACACGTATGAAATCAGTTTACTCTTTCTTACGGCAAATTACACTAATATTGGCGCTTCAGCCAGATGAAGAAAAGCATTTTTCTGCGCTATATATTAAAGAAAACTATCTACACATGTTTTCAACACAAATGAGAATAAAAAGTCTTGAGTGAAATTTATCAGAAAGGCGACAATGTGAATGAATAATAAGGATAATGAAATGTTTTTCCTCAACGTCTAGCTAACACAGTCTCACTTAATTTCAAAAGTATGTAGTACGCCAGGAAGTCTTGAAGAAGAAGCGCTTCTGCTCATTCTACCTGTATTTCATTATTAAAAACAGTTGAGTATTTCTGATATTCTTGATTCATCCAGGATCTAGTAGAACTTTGAAGTTCATACATAAAAGATCTCTGAGAGATTAGCTTTGATGAGAGAGAGAGAGATCTAAAGTTCAGATATAGGTAAAGCCACTTCGCATTTCAGCATTATATTTCTGAGACTTGTAGCAGTGATTTTTGTGATCAATGTAATCGACTTGATATTTCTAGCTGATTTTGAAAAAAAAAACATTTTTCGAAATCCGTTGACGAGCTGAAAGTTGCAAAATTCTTTTCAAGGAAAAATAACTGACTTAAGGTTGTAGAGCTAACATCGACCGTGCTATTCTAATAGAATTATTTCTTGGAAGTATTTTAGGCTGAAAAATGTCGTTAACATCCCTCTTCTTTTTATTATTAAATTTTTTTTTCAAAGGGTTTGAATATTCATTTTGTTCGTGTAACACAAAACTCTCGAAGCAATGAAAAAAAAGAAGCTATTTTATTTTTACATGGTTGGCCAGGTTCATTTTTTGAATATCTTGATGTTGTTCGTCTTCTCAACTCATCATCAAATGCAAATTATGATCTTATTATTCCATCATTACCTGGTTATGGTTATTCAGATGCACCTTTACGTCCGGGTATGAATCCAACACAAATAGCTCGTATTATGCAAAATCTAATGCAACGTCTTGGTCATAGTTCATATGTTGTATGTGGTGGTGATTGGGGAGCTGCTATTGGTACAAATATGGCACAATTATATCCTGGTCATGTTCGTGGACTTTATATAACAGTGCTTCTGCCATCTTTCACATGGAAACATTATATACAATTAGCTCTTGCTCATTATATAAGTCCATCAATATTACTTGATTATGATGAACAAGAATTTTTAATTAAGCGTTTTAATCCATTTGATTATACTACATATTTATGGTAAATTAAAAAATTCGAATAGTTAGATCAAAAAGAAAAATTAATTTTCCTTTTTATTTGAAATAGGCAAGAAGGTGGTTATTTTCATTTACAAGCAACAAAACCAGATACAATTGGCTATGCACTTAATGATTCACCAATAGGCTTAGGTTTATTTTTATTTGTTAAATTTTATTTTTCATATATGAGTTTTCTTTTTTTAGCTGCTTATATATTGGAAAAATGGTCTCGTTGGAGTAACAATCCAACTGATATTGATCAATCAATTAATTCCGGTTTGGATCGTTTTACACTTGATCAACTTCTTTCAAATGTTGTATTATACTGGACAACAGAAACAATAACATCATCAATGCGTCTTTATTTTGAATCTTTATCGCAGTTATCATCTGGTCATGATGATAAAATTCTTAATGGTCCATTAGCTGCTTCAGTTCCTGTTGCTATTATTAATTATCGTAACGAACTATGGTATGTGCCACGTACAATAGCACGATTTAAATATCCAAATATTAAATTATGGTTATATCATAAAACTGGTGGACATTTTGCTTCGATAGAAAAACCACGAGAATATGTTCGTGATATTGAAAAATTTCTATTACAAATTTGAAAATTGTCAAAAGTTTATACATAATGTAACTATATTTCTTGTCATTTATGTTCTAAATATATATCTAGATTGATAGGTGATAGCTTAGATCTTTTTGTTTCTTTACTATTATTGCAATTGTCAGTTTTTTTCCTTGTATTTTGTACTACGACTGATGGTTTGTATGTAAAACTTTATTTGTAATCCAGCATTATTATGAACAAACAGAAAAAAATATATATTCTACAAATAATTTTGTAACGAAAACAATATCTCTATTTTTTGTAGATATATATGTATACATATAAGAGAGAAAATCAAACTATTTGATAATGCTGATTCAAATCGATTGAATATTTCGTTCAAAATGGCGACAGGATTTATGAGCTTATGTGACCAAATTTTAGCAGCATCATCTTCTCAAACATATTATGATGCATCGAAAAAACCGCTCAGTACCTTGCTCAATGAAATGACATCTTATGTCACTACTGCTGGAACAATAGAAAAAGCAGATGATTCAATTATTTACGGGTATATATATTTAACAAAAATAAAAACAAACTTTGTTTGTTTTTTAATTGCTTTTTTTCTTTTCAGGCTTCAAATACTTCTGTTGTGTGATGTAGAACGAGTTCGAGCTGCATCACTTCGTGCTCTTCGTTATTCAATCCATCGGGCAACTATTTTTGATAAATTTCTTGAATGTCGTCTTGATTTTCTTGTTTGTCGGTAAGTTATTTTAATGGATGTTGCGATAGCCTTTTGGACAAAATGTTTTTTCATTTGCTGATCAATCACAAGAGCCAACAGAAAATTTATACCATGAAGTTTGAACCAGAATTTTGGTGTGCTTTTCAATATATGATCGTAATTATGAGTGAATCTTTGAAAGGTTAGAGAATAAAGTTTGCACGAAAACAATTAAACTAACAAATGTAGAAACAACAAATCTAATCGTACTCCGTTTGAAATCGATTGCATGCTATTCTTTTCGACATTTTCTTATTATCATCGTAAAGATGCCGAATTTGGCTTACGAAGGAATTTTTCTAGGTGCTAAAAAGCTCTTTACCCGAAATATTTTCCACAACTAGGTGATGTATAAACTAAAAAGAGTCTAAGAGAGTATGAGGCCAAATTACAATTTGGCTGAGATACTGATATTTGGAAAGAACACAAAATTCTAGTTTTTATCTAATGTTTTCAAATTTTCTTCTAGTTTTCGTTATCGATCAACAAATGAAGAAATACATTGTACAGAAACTTTTGCACTACTTGTTATTCATGTTCAATAATTGTTTCATTATTTTGTGTTTAGATCTCTTACGATTGATTTACGAAATGCTCGTGAACGTTTAGAAGCATATAAACTTATTCGTCGTTTATTTCTTTTATATCCACAACGTATACCTCATTCATTTGTCTATGTTCTTGATGCTATTGTTGCATCAAGTTATCCCACATCAATACCTCGAACTGCAAATTCAACACCTATAATACGAACTGATCAAATGGTTAAATGTTGTTTAGAATTATTATGTGAAATAGGTAAAAAAAGAATATTTACTTTTATTTGAAAGAAAAACATATGTTTTTTCTTTTTTTTTTTATTGTAATAAAATTAGCACTCCAAAATCCACATATATTACAAGAATGTAATGCAATAAATACAATGTTAAAATTTATTGTTGATGTTGAACAAGATGAACTTCGTCAAAGTGTACTTTATGCATTATTACATGCTGTTGATCGTTTTACAATCAATGATAATAGTGAGCCAACAATAATTGATTCAGTTGATTCAAATGGTCCAGCTTTAGTACTTGTGGATGAAGGAATGCGTGACCGACATGAATTAATTGGAAATATGTTTAGTGTATGTTAATTTCTTTTTTTTTTTTTCATAAATAATTCATTTTTAACTGTTATTTTTTCTTTATTTAGCAATTATTAGCAATCTTTTCATTATGTGAAAAAGGAACATTGAAAACCGGTGATCGTCGCGCAATGTCACCAGCAGCGTAAGAAAATATTTAATAAAAACGACAAAACAAAGAAAGTTTATATGAATTATTTTATTATATAGATTTGATCATCTAATTGTTAAAGAACCAGATAAATTGAAAACACTTAAATCATGTGCATCAGCTATGGAAACAATTTTACATAGTTGGATCGGTAAGAATTAATTGTTTGTAAATAGTATACATATATTTGATCATATTTGATATAATATATAAGGTTTTACGGCATTTTGTCAAACAAGAAATTCATCTATACGTTTGCTTGTTAATTGTTTACTTGTACAATCTGAACCAATGAAAGTATGTTAAAAAAAACCAATTTTATTTTGAATAATAATAATAATGTTTATATATGTTTAGATGCTTATTCTTGATTTATTTTATGAATTACTCAATCTTGATGTGCCAGCTGTTTGTGATAGTTATGAAGCAGCACTTAGATCAATGTGTAAACATAGATTTCTACTTTCGTTTTATATTAACAATGAAATTTTTTCTCTATTGATATTCAATCAAGAGTTTTTTGTTTATAAATATGTCTTATATATAGATCCAACGTGGAATCTAACAACAGTTGAAGAAGGGTATACATATGTAGCTTATGAAGGAGCTGCTAAACTACCTCGTTTATCATCTACAAGGTATATTAAAGTATTAATAAATATGAATACTTATTTGTTTTGACTATAGTCTTCTTTATTAAAATTTCTTAAGCGTATTCTAAGTGTTCTTTTATCATTTATTTATAGACCGGACTTGCTTGATAGTCATATGGCATTAATGCTGCTTACTCTTATTGATGCTGGCTTAATTGAGGTAATTTCTCAATGACAAATAAACATTTCCATTATATTTTTTTTTTCTCTAAAATTTAAAACTAATTTGATCATTATCTACTAGGCGGTTAGTGAATTAGCATCGAGTGATAACTCGATATTATCTATTCGTGCAACATTACTCTTGGCAAATTTCATTTGGCTGGTATGTAATATAATTTTAACTTAATATAAAAGAGAACATAAGCTTTAAAAATGTGCACTGCGCCTAAATAACGAGGCATGAACAGTGCAAGAGACAACGATTATTGCAAATAGCAATGGAAATTGCTACCGCCTAAAGTATTTTTGACTGTCAACACGGCTACACTTAACTATAATTGAATAAATTTGTACCTCATATTTGTTGCTTTGGACTATGTCTCAAAAAATAGTGCTTCGTTTCTAAACACTTACCTAAGAGGAACAACATAAAGTTGAAAATACTACGAAATAATATTTAGTTACACATGAGATAGTCATACATATGTGTCTATATATTTATAGGATGTTTTTTTCCTTCCTAACTTATTTTATAGTTAAATTTACGTACATGTAAGTTGAACGTGAATTTAAATATTATTCTCGTCATAATGAATTTCACTAAATTTCAAGTTAGATCAATTTATTATAAGGATCATTGTTAGTCTACACGTGCTACAATTAAGCGATAAATATAAACTGAGACAATAAAAGAATGGAATTTCATCCTCTTCAGTTCAACAGCTGTCATGATTAAGGTACGACTACCTAGCAAACAAATAAGAGAAGAAGCGAAATAGTGGCACTCCAAGTTTTCTTCGATAACGTAGCCATCCATCAATGAATGAGTCATATTTGTCATTAGGACGTTGCGATGCATATCTCTGATTAGCTTTGATTGATATCAATTCATTTTTTAAAGACATCCTCTATTTGTTAATACGAACAAACAAATTTGCATTATATGGATCTTAATATGTCATTTGTTACTAATATAAAAGATATAAGTAGCTATGTTTTTATTGAATTCTAGTGTAATGAACATTTACCTGAAGAGCAAAGTTTTCTTTTATTACCTCTATTAATGGATGTTGCTATTGCTGATGATGATAGTATCAAACGAAGGTATTTAGTTTTGAAAATATTTCAAGTCTTTTTTAATAGTTTGCTATTAAATTTAAAGTTTTGCAAAAGAAGCTATGCTTAATATCAATGCATTCTTTGAATTTAAACAACGCACACGTCATATACATTCATTTCAATTAGCACAATTAACATATCATGCTCAACATTTAAATGATTATTTTACATTACCACCAAATGTTGGTGGAGAAACAAATCGTCGAATATCAACATCATCGTCCAATGATCCTGTAAGTATTTGGCTTAGAATAAGTAAAGAAAAAAAAATCTGGGGAATTAGACGAAGAGAAAATATTTCTCTTCGTAGATCATTTTATTCCTTTTTTTTTTATTCCGTATTATTTCATATTTATCTCTTGTGTGTTTGTGTGTATGAATTATCTAGACATCGCTCTTGAAATGGTCATTCTCAACACCATTTCGGACGTTAAATGTAAAGAAAAAAATCTTAGAGCAGAAACAAGTGTGGTTTGTTCTGTGGTTTTTGTTTGTGTGTGCGTGTGTCTGTGTTTATATACCAGTAGACTCTTTACATTAAAACTCTAAACGCTCTTAACATTAGATGTACAACTGTGCATGGTTGAATGTCCTTGCGTTTCTCGGTTTGTCGGTGTTTGTGCATGATACCATTAAACATACCTAAAATCATTTGCATTTTCTTTTTTTTTTTTGTTTTTGTTTTTTTGTAGTTGGTTGCAGAAAAAATCGACGCTAGTATCCGTAATACAAATACATTACAAACAGATAATTACAAAAGATGGAGCTGGGATTTAATATTAGCTTTATTAAAAGTGAGAAAATTGTCACGAAAATTGAATGTGTGTACAAATAATCTTGTCTTTTTCGTTAAATAGGATTTTCCAAAACAAGCAAATCAAGTTCAAGGAGAACTCTATGAAATGTAAGTTGTCAGTTTTTTTCAACTGATCGTATCAAAAATTTAATAAATATTTTATATAGAGAATTAGGTTATTGTTTTATATCATTGACAAAGGAGATAAAGACAATTAGCAAAAGTTTATGCTCCTAAATCTTCATATTGCCGACTTATGAAGGAATCTCTTCAAATATCATCTTTCGATTTCAGTGACATTTTTGATCTACAGATACTACATAGTATTCTAATGAAAACGCTAATTCTTATTAGAACACTATGAAGTATCTATAAGCGAAGAATCACTGGAACTAGAAGATGATATCTGAGGACGTTTCCTCTTTAGCAAATGGATCGAAAAAAGGTGCCACTATGTTGAAGAAAATATATAAGAAAGAGCAACAAAAAAGATCAATTCAAAAAGACGTTTATTCATGCTAGTTCTAATCAGACGAGTAGAGACTTATATCTGGCAAAACTATATAATTGATTACTGCCAAAACTTAAAACTAACATCGCAGCATATTCAACTGTCAAACACCATTAGACTTCATATGACACTTACGAATAAGTCTTAGTGAAACTAGAAAAAGTTTAAAAGGATTTGAGTCTATAACCTACTCATAAAGCGTGATAACCGTTTGAATGAGATTTTTATTGTGAACCAGACATTTTCGCAAAAATCTAAAACGAAGAGTTTGACTTGAAAATTTTATTAAGATAACCATTACTCATCATCAGGATATCATAGATCTGAATCCTTTTAAACTTTTCTTAGTTTCACCGAGACCTACTGATAGTCATAAGATGAAATCAAACAACATCCGATACTTGAATATATTTTCTCATAATATCATACAGATTGTATCATTTGTGTACTATTAAATATTTACTTCTTTTGTTTGGATAAAGAATTTTATTTTAATTAAGAAGTTGATATTTGCAATGGTTTGATTTATTTAATTAATTTAGGTTTCTTGATAAGTTATGTGATTTTTTCAAACCGGAACTAACTGGTGGTTTTAATGATATTCTTTTAATTGATTCCCTATCTGACGTAACTTGTCGAACTTTATTAGCATTTTCTGATCTTCTTGTTTATCCAGCTCGATCATCATCAAATCATATTAAAGTAATTGATAATACATGCATTAATAAATTAACAAAAAAATGTATTTCATATATTCAAGGTTATTGCAAGTAATATTGCTCGAATACTTTTAACAAGCGTTAGTAATGCATTACAACAAGTAATATTTATTTTTTAATAAGACTTCATTTAGAAGTTTTTGATTTTTTTAATTTATATATATATATATAGTCAATTGTTGCAATGAGAGATTGTCATGGACGAGCTGTAATAACAGAACATGATTTATTGTTAAAAAATAGTGTTTATTATTATTTATTTCTTGGACGTTTAAGTAAATCATCCGTTGGTACACAAGCATTAATTGATAGTGATATATTTATTCGGTATATAAATTATTTTTCTTGTATTGACAATTTAATAAATATAAATATTTGTTTCAATTATTTATAGGCTTTCGGAAATGTTGAAAATGGATGATGAATTTGCTACATCAGCTATTGTTGCATTATCTTCATTTAATTATTATTATGAAAGTCCATGTCGAACTTATTTAATGCAAGCACTCAAATCACCTTGCATGGTAATTATCAGTTCTTTATTGAAAGAATTATATAAAACTAAATGTTTTTATTCTTGATCTTTGCTAATTATTCAACCATATAGTGTTTTATCCAATGTGAGAACTAGAGTCCATAGAGTTGGAAGTTTTCGAACCTGAATCTGACAAGGTCTTGTGATGTCTGAAATGGCGTCACACTTCTAAATTTCGCTCTTATCGTACGATGTGTTATATGTCTGTGCTTGTAAATAGTTGTCTTTGCCCTTGCAGAATGTCAAATATGAACAAAATACTGAAAACATGATAGTTTAGGAAATATGTAATACTTTATCAATTTTATGTTTTTGTAGTGATCGTTTGCAGTTCGAAACTCTATTGAATGAACTTCATTCAAGAAGATATTATATCTGAAGTTTTTAGATGTTCTAAAAAGTATTATAGTAGTGATGAATTAGACTAAAACGTATAGTTTATTTTAATTCTGATTTGTAATAGAACATCTTGATAAGTATCGTTTTTATTGAAGAAATACAGCTTTAATTAATGTTTTTTTTTTGCATTTCCTAAGACAAAATTCTATAGAATTGAAAGCACAAGTCAATGCGAAGAAGCCTATTGTAAAAAACTTCGTGAACAAAATTTGATTATGAAATAGATTTTAGTATTGAAACATTTAAAAATTATAATTTTTCTATCCTACATAATAAAGTTTCTTTTTTTCTATTCTATTTTTTAGGCACTCCGTTTATACAGTACAAGTCTTCTTCGTGTAATTCTTCGTTCAAATCCAGTTGCATTTGGTAGTTGGGGTTTAAGTCTGCTTATTTCACAATTGCATGATAGTGATCAAACAGTTTTAATCGAAGCCGTTTCAGTTCTTGATGAAGCTCTTGAAGATAGAGTAATTCATTTTTTCAATTAATAAAATTTTAATTTTCTTTTATGAATTTTCTTAGAGATTAGTAAGCTTATTTTATAAACAATGGGAAAGTGTTACTTCAATAAAAAATAAAAATAGTTTTTTATCAAAAATTTTTCATTTGGCTTCTGCACGTATAAGTTCAATACCATTTCATCATGTTCCACATGATGATAAACATTTATCAATGTTACGTGAAGAACTTGCATATTGGGATTCAACATTTAATGCTGAATATGTTACGTTAATTGAAACAAAATTATTTTCAGCTTATTCAGGTGGTCCTTTATTAACTGATGATTATTTTGAAAGACGTAAATCAACATCATCAGCAAGTAAATCTAAAACGAAAAAGCCAACTACATATATTTCATCACATATATATAGACAATTATGTCTTCATTATGATGGATTTCGTTTATTACGTTCAGAATCTCGTTTAGAAAAATATGCAATAGAATTACGACAACATCGTACTAATTGTGTTAGTCTAAATGAAGCACGTGTTATTAAAGAAGCACTTTGGGCATTAGCTCATACAGCTAGCACGGAATATGGTTATAGTTGGTTTATGGAAAAAGATTTATTACCAGATTTTTTAAGATTTGCTGAAGAATGTCAAAATTTATCTGTTCGAGGGTAAATAAAATATTGTGTAAAAATAATATTTTTACCTTATGAGAGTCTTTATTTTCGATAATCAGTAACTTATATTAATTAGAATACAACTGACTCCTACGGAAAAATTTGCTAAAATCTAAAGTCCTCATAAGAAACGTTTCTGTCTAATAGGACATGTTATATAGTCTTGTGCGTATAAATTCTTTTTTCTTCTTTTTCTTGTTCTCCCACTGATACAGTATTGAATTTTTTGGACTTTCGATTGAAAGTTACTCGATCCATTATCGAATCTATTGGAAATCAGAAGAATGAAAAAAAAAAAAAGGAAGGCTATCTGTAGAAAATCTATTGAGGCTCGCTGCATATTACTTTGGATTGCTCATTCAAGGTTATTTAGTTAAAGGCATATCCAAGAAAAGAAACACGTGAAGATGCAATGTCTCCAATAATACAACAACAGAACCAAAAATAAAAGCTTAAGCAAAAGATGAGTTTGTTCAATGTAATGTTGATTCGTGTGTTATACCTTGTTTTGAATTATACTACATTTTGAAAAACTTACAAAGATTCCTATTAAAAATACATTTTTCTAAACTGGAAATATAGATTAATTTATGGTCAAGTATACAGCAAAATGGCATGTTTTATTTTCTTTCAAAAAATACTCTGCAGTCAAAGGTTTAAAGAAAGTAGTTTATTGCGAAAGTTTTAAGTCGCTTGATTTGCTTCTATCCTAGAAAAAAAAACATCAAATCTGCCACTTTATACGAATCATGTAAAAGACACACTATTACCATAGTTATATCTTAGGATAGAAATAGTGATAAAATCTGAAACATTCACAAAAAATTACTCTTGTTAAGAATTATCTTCATGCTAAGTTTCAGGTCGAAATTTGAAAACCATTTTGTCTGGTGTTCCTGAGGAAGATCACAGTATTCATTTAAAAAAATACTGAAAGTGCAGTATCTTTATAGTCACACACTAACGACATGAATTCTTGTCAGGGTTCTTGTAGCTCATGTGGACCTACATAATACATATAGTCTCGACTCACAAGTGATTTATCAATTAGAAAATTTCTCTTTTAAATAGTTTTATTATTATTATTATTATCGATCAGTCGTCTAAATAAGCTTCGATGAAATTCAAGTTTTTATCACCCTTGATCGGCGCAAATTTCAGAATATAACAACATTTTCCTAAATGTATTACATTCACGTGCCAAAATGGAAGTATCGATTAGATTTATAATTGTAGCATATGTTTAGATAAATAATCAATTATAAAGACTAGAGTAGAATTAAATTTAAATGTAAACACTCATTGAAAGTGATAATTAGTGAAAATTCAATTGAAAACATTCCCACATTAGTTTTGTTTGAACAAATTCTAATCGATCAACACAAATATATAAAACATATGTATTGTTGATGATCTAAAATAACTAGTCAACAATTAATTTTATTTTTCTTATTTTAGTACGGCATTCTATGCACTTAGTTTAATAGCGCAAACTCCAGATGGTGCCATTTCTTTGAAAGACTACGGTTGGGAAACATATCGTGTTCGATCTCATTCAGTTTCACCATCGGCAGCATATACTGATACATGTCAAAATGCTGAAAGACGTATTTCAAAAGGTGCTACAACGCCATCACCACGTAAGAGTATTTCATTACAAGTAACTCCACCAGGACCTTCAACAACTAATAATTTATCAGATAATAAAACGAAAATTGGAACAAATGAACCAGTACCAGCCGATGTCGTACCTATAACTCGTTACAATCCTCGTCATGAGACAAGTTTATCTGATGTAAAATCTAAAAGATCATTAACTATGCCTTCAACAATTTTATTAAACTCAAATGAAAAAACAGATGTGCTACATGGTAAAAAGAAATGTTTTTGTTTTTCTAAGTTTAAAATCAATGTTTTTTTTTTTCTTTATATGACTTTAGTTATTATACCTGAAGAAAGTGCTCCAGCAACACCAACCAGTAATATAGCAATGGTATCATTTTCTGATTGTCTTGAACCTGGTGGTCCTCCATTATTTGTTAGTGTACCTATACGTCGTTGTTCAAGTATATCAAAAGAATTAACAAGTACAACATGTCGTGATTCAGGTATAGCTAGCGGAGCGACAGGATCATTTTCAGATGTTGATTATTCTCGTTCACCATCTTATCAAACATATCCATCACATGGTCAATCTCAATCAGCAGCTGAACAATCAGCAACAGATAGTTTACCATTAGAACGTTTTCGTCCACGATCAAAATCTGCACATCAATCAAATGCATTACGACGATCGAAACAATTACAAAAAGTTCCTGAAGTTATTCAAGCATTACGTGCTCCAACAGCTGGTCTTGGTGGTGCATCAGAACCATCAGCAACGGATGAATTATATCGATCACGTTTATTACGTTGTAATTTTCTTTTAAAACCAGATGCAGCTGGTTATGAATATGCAAGACGTGTACAAAAACTAAGTCATGCTACATATTCTCATTTAGTTAATACGAATTATACTGATTATTATACAGAAGATATATTATTAAAAGAAAAAAAAGATGAATTCTTATTACCATTTCATAGATTTACCTCAAAATTCTATAAAAAAATTTATGAATCACATGGTTTACGTGATCAACAAATTGATAAATTTTTATCAGATGATGGGTGAAATTTCAGATTAGAATTATGTTTTTTTTTAATAAGCAACTTTTTCTTTTTAGAAAATATTCTACGGATCAACGTGATATAGATGATGCTGATGAAGATGGAAATACTATTTATCGTGGTTTAGCTGTACCTGTTGATATTCGTCAAGTTGTAGAAGTAAAAAAAAAATAATTATATATACTATTTAGGACATACCAAAAGTAGTGACAAATGTAATGTAGTTTCTTATTGAAAAACGCTTAAACAAACTTTCTTTCTGTTCGGTCTCATGCCAGTAATAACAAGAGAAACTATTGAGACTTTTTTTTTTTTTTATTAGATTTATTGAATCGTTTTAAAGTTCAAAGATTTTTTTTTCTATACTCTCTATTATAGTAGGATGAGGTGTTTTATAAGATCAATCTAAATACATCCTAATATCAATTAGTTTGTCATCGAATTAATTTTGTTCCGATGGATTTCTTCTTAAAACATTTTTGTATTAAAAAGATTGTCAAAAAATTTCTTCGCATGAAATCAGTCTTTTTCAACCACTTTACTGCTGACAGTTCTATCTGAAAATGCATATATATGTTCATTGATATTCCTCTGCAACTAACTCTCTATCATGAATTGATCCTACAGTGAATACTTTGTAAATCTAGCAGGATAAATTTATATTGATAATCGGTACTCTAAAATTTTTATAACTAACTGACAATATCGAATGGTTAAGTGGTTAGAGCCATAGTTTCTTAGTTCATTCCTTCTTTTATTTCTCAGGACTTTCTTTCGATAAATATGTTATAATAAGATCCTTGTTACAATGGCTGTTAAAAGTCTTGTCTCATAATACTACATAAGTATATCCAAACAGATCTTTTCCGAATATATTATCGCTTCAACAAGTTATTAATCCTAATAAACTTCGAAAAAATAAATTCTGCCAACTGTTGGTTTAATAAAAAAATTACAATACATCTATCACTACTTTAGGTATTCTGTAAGTAGAATTTTAAATATTAAATTGTATTTCATAGATTTCTGATGGTTATAATTTAAATTATGAAACATGGTCGGATCTTGTTCGTTCTCGTTCACGTGGAAATACAAATGCTGATCAAGCACGAACACGTAGTGCTACTGGAGCATCAACGGGTTCTGGAGGTTACTATTGAATACAATTATTATAATTTATTATTTTCTTTCATATTTTCTTTCAATAGAATTTACGGCAATACCACCTGCAACTATATCACAAGATCAAACAATGTCAACAACAATAATTGTTCCAACAAATCTAATATCATCAACATTATCATTAAATATTTGTATGATGTGTACTAATAATACAACAAATCTTACACCACATGAACATTCCCATGTAACTATGCAAGCAGATTTTGCTGATGTCAAAGCATTAGCTAGTCGTCTTATTGCTGCTATTCATACTGATGAAGTTGAAAAAAAACTTTTAAGGTTAGTTATTTCTTTTTTTTTTTTTGTTTCGGTAAAATAAAATAAAAATTTGATATTTTAGTTGGAAAGAAAGTCGTCCACAAATATTTGATAATATTTGTTTATATTCTGAAGTATGTTATATATTATCATTGAGTAGTGTACGTGTAGCTGCTCAACGTTTTCTTCATGATTTATTTTCTGATTGTCAATTTCAAAAAGTAAGTTTACAATGATAATAATAATAATAATAAATAAAAACAAATAAAAAAATTATTTTAATATTTTTTTAGCTTCGTAAACGTCGTCGTCAAGTTGATAGTTTAACTGAAGAAGATGATGACAGCTTCGATACAAGTACAAGTTCATAGAGAGCAATTATCAAAAAAAAAAACTATTTAAATATAGTCTTCCTTTTAATTCCTTCTGGTTTATATAATGTCAAATATTCTTTGGTTCTTCTTTCTTTGCTTGACCGGTGATAATGACCCATCACCATTATATATATATAACTACATATATATATATATTCAATAAAGAACAGTGAGATTTATTTATTGATTAACTCGAAAAACAAATAGTGTGAGAATTATATTTTTTTCTTTTTTTGTCTTTGATATATTTGTCTTACATGTTCGAATCGAGTTTTTTTCTTTGTTTGTGTTTGTGTATATTATCAACATTGATTCCACTTTATTTTTCTTTACACATCTTTTGCAATACCCTGCTGTTCCCTATTTGCTTGTTAGTGAACTTCGCGGTAAAAAAAAAAAAAAAGAAATTAAATGGAAATTAAGAAAAATTCAAAACATTATTGAGAAATATGTCTTAAAACAAAAAGACATAACACTATTTATTATTTTTTAATTAAAATAAAAATAAAAATATTGGTTTGGTCGTTACAATTCAAGGATTGACTTAAGAACAGATTTACAAAATTAATTCTATTTCCTAGATTACACAATAGAGATGCGCACCATGTCTAAAAAATGAGACGGAGGCGGCGAGGATGTACATGTGGATCGCCTAAAGTCTTCTTGATAGGCAGTGCAGTCGCACCTAACAGTAGCTGAAATTTTTTTTTGCTCTATAAGGTTTCTTATGAATAGTGCTTTATTTCCAAACACCTATCCAAGAACAACAACAGCATAAACTTGAGAACATCACGAAATAGTATTTAAATAGGCAAGATGTAGCTAAATATGCATTATTATAGGATGCTCATTTCCCGTTTGAACTATTTTTAATAGTAAAATTTGCGCATATTTTAAGTTTAACATGAATTGAAATATTATGTTCGTCACAATCAAATTAACTAAGTTATTAAGATTTTTTTTTTTTATCAAGATAAGTTTGAAACAATATTGATGACGTTTTAATTTATAAATTTACCAAATGAATATAAAATGGGGTGATAGACAAACGGTATCATACATCCTAAAGTGGGACAGCTGTATTATTAAAGCACTGATTCGCGGACTAATGAGAAGAGAGGCGGAGCGAAGCAGTTACTCAGCCATCACGCTAAAAAATTTCTTGGGTGGCACAGTCGCCCACAAATGTACGGGTGGTGCGCATCTCTGTCACACAAAAATGAATCAGAACCGACAGCAGGCCGAACTAAGCTAATTGATATTTTTGATTTTATGAATACATGTAATTCTATAACTCTGCATTAATGTTATCATTCTAGTTTCAGTTGTTCACTTGACTTATTTCGACACGGATAAGCTAATAAAAAGTTCTTACACGAAATAGTTAATTAAAATAAACACAGAGACAATCATCATACATATGATTCAGAGACGAAAGATTTGAATTAACGTAATGTTTTTGATTATATCAGTACTATTTCCAATAATCAAAAGAAAGAATCATGATGAGAACAACAACATATGATCGAGCATATTATGAAGGATTATTTAGAGAATATGTGACACATATAAGAACAGGCAAGAACATTTACATTTGACAAATAACTTTCGTAACAGCGTGAAGGAAAAATTTACTATCTAATTGTTTTTGGCTTTAAAAGCAAATGCTTCTATCAGTCAATGTACATACTATAGAAGTAAATTGACGTTCAGTTCTATCATTTGTTGCTGTAATCGAATGAATTTATCGAAGTACTCTCGAATAATACGATAACCTATCAATATTTGATTTCAATAACGTAAGAATCAAGCCAACAACGTTGGCTTAGTCGGTAGTTTTGCTGTAAATATTGAAGAACAGAAGGTCGAATTTTGAATAGTAAAAAAAATTGTTATGGTTTGTTTGTCAGTAAATGTTATAGTTACTCAAATTTAAACATACTTTAATTAAATATATTCATTTGATTGCATGTAATTGAGTCAATACTAACACTTGATTATAAAAACTACTTAAATATGTTTGAATAAGTTGAAAACAGATCTTCAATATATTTCTCTTTACAATAATGTATCATTTCATTATGAACAAATGATTTTTTTTAATTAATCGCTTTTGAATATTAGCATATATATTGCATAGTTAGTTATCATAGGCTTATACTTAATTTCGCTGAAGTCATTATCGATTAATCATGTATATAACGTCATATTTTTATGATGAATTGATAAGTATAATATTATCAAAAATCGATCATTCTTAAACGTATGTTGTATTCACAAGTGGTGTATCAGTAGTAGTGTTGAGTGTTGTCATTGATGTGATATTTAATATTTGACAAGGATCAATTTGTTCAACAATAGATTCTATTGACACAAGAACAAAGATACTTTATGTTTTCTTTTTTTTTTTTTTAATTTCCTTCAAACTTTTATTATACTTAAATTAAATCGAGATATTTTGTAGTGTGTATTATTTATATCCATTTGATCATGCGTCATCACAATAGAAATTCAATTATGTGAACTGAATGAACCATTAACATTATATTATGTATTAATTATCATAGTTTATTATATTTGTAATGCTTATTAAATTAGTTTCGTTCGACTTGTTTGACAAGTAGTATATGAATTGAAAAAAAAAACATGTTTTACTTAAGTATTATTGTATTTATTGAAAATGTTTATTTTATTGAACATAAAACATTACGAACATAGTAACAAAAGTTTTGCTCAATTTAATCATAAAATTTATTATTCATTTTCGAATGAATGAACAACTAACTACTTTACTTCTAATTAATGAATATGCACGAGAAGATATTTTTTTAAAAAAGCACATGTATAATAATAAAATGTATAAAAAATCGAATTGAAAAAGATGCTTTTTTTTTTTAAAAAAAAACTCATTCATTATGTTGTTAGAAAGAAAGTTTTGAAAATTTAATCTGTTTCAAATGATCGAAATTTTCTAACAGATCGATCCTAAATATAAAAGAATAAATACAATCATTGCAAGAATAAGATAATCAGTCAATATTACAACGCTAGTTGTAAAAAAAAAAATTGGTCGGTGATGTTCATCGTTCTTGTTGATAGAATGTCTGACTCAAGTTGTTTTTATTATCATATCTGTTAAATATATGAATAGGAGTTGATGCATATCTTGCAGATAGAAATGTATTAAATAAGCGTACGTTACCCTATTATCTTTAATGTCATGGCTGTTTACTAATAAAGAGTATCGAACCGTGGATATAACATATTCTTGATTTGTCATATAATGAATTCTATTCCATTTTTTTGGTCGTATTATAACATAGGAAGTAGTATCTGACTTAATGCATTAGATGAATAGCATATAGCGTTTAACTCAATTATCTTTCGATGATATATTGTAAAAGTTTCTCAAGTTCATTGTCTTATTATTTCATATAAACAAGATGTTTTTTTTTATGCTACACAAATACGTTCTGTACGAATTATTGAAATGAACAAAATAGTATCATTGATAAACTCTATGCTTGATTCGTACATCGATAAAACTTTTCTGTATAGTAGAAAATTTATTTTTGATGTGTTTGTTCAACGAATTAATATGAAAAATATTTTATTTTCAGTTTTATAAAAACTCAACGACAACATTGATAGATATTCTATCGAAAGCATTCGTCAATCTTTGACAATTGTTTAAATTTGTTAAAAGAAAACAAAAAAAAACAATACATTAACGTCTGTTTCTAATACAGAACTTGAAACACAATAAATGCAAACCATCTTAGAATCAAATGACATATAACTAAAATAAACCAGATGTGAAATAATTGATGCATACAAAACATTATCTTTTAGTTTACTTAATCATGTTATTTATAGATAAAATTTTCCATACAAGTTATAATATTGATTTGCATATTCGCAATAATGAATATAAGTTTTCAGTTTGTAAAAAGAAAACGATGACGTTATCATACTTATCAAATAACAAAAGAAAAATTTATAAATGAAAAAGCTCTGATAATAATTAAAATAAATTCGCAATTGATGAAGGGATTAATCTAAGCGTTTCATAGTATTAATTACATATATATATATTCCATAAAGATAATAATGGAGTTACAAAGTCATAATAATGAGACAAATTATTAAGAATCATCACATGATATTAACCTACGAAATACGACAAAGATAATTTTCCAGCCAAAAAAAAGCATTATAATTCTTTCTTTCTTTCTTAAAATCTTAATGTATTTCACATGAATAAATCATTCTTTTAAAATATTTCATTTATTCAACGATAAAAAAATTTTTCTTTTTTTTTATTAGATATAATTTATATATAAATAAGTGAAAGATTCATTTCTTTTTCTCTTGGAAATATGAAACATAGACAGAAGTAAAATTAAATTAAATTAAATTATCATAAAAAGAAAAAAAAAAAAGAATAATAATGAAAAATTATTACAATTCAGTTCTCTGTGAAAAAAGAAGCACCGTTTGAGACGTATTGGAATACGATGATGGTGCACCTGAATGTCTATTATTATGATTATTTGTACCTATCGTTGTTGTTTCTAATGATGATGATGTATTGTTTGCATCATGAATCAACGATATACGATGTGTAGCAATAGCTTCAACAAGTGTTGGTGTTATTGTAGGAACAGGTGCTTGTAATGTAAAAGGAAAGTCTGTTTGAAGCTAAAAATAAAAATCAAAAGATAGCTTTATCTTTACAAAAAAGAATTCATTTTACTGATGTTGTACGTTGTTCACTATTTGAACTTTGTTGTAATGTTGATCTTAAGACAGGTTGTTGTTCATTTTTAACTAAGTAGTCATCAAATGCTTCATTAGTTTCACCTATTAAAATTAATAACAATAAACGAACCTACAATCTTTTTTCTGTTTTCTTCGATCAATTTTTTTACTTACCTTCATTTGATGATTGCAAACGATTAAATGGATTGATAAATACTGGAGTAGATGGTGTACTCTAAATATATATGTATTATAGAAATTCATATATCAATAAGTGACAAATGATTAGTCCTTTTTTTTTTAATAGTTTCTTACCAAACGATTATAGACAATCGTTTCTGTACGTGGTTGTGAAAATTGTCGATGAGAAAGACGTGCTTTTTTTTCTGGATATCTAAAAGAAAATATTTAAAATTAATAAATAAGAAAAATACTCATATCAATCATACTCTGGTTGAATAGAAGTTGCTGAAAGATTGACAACAATTGCTTGTAATCGACTTGAATGATCTATTTAATTAAATGAAAATGATCGATTTATTAATAATATAAATAAATAATAAAGATATATAAATTTAGTTACCAATTTTTTTTAACCAAATTGTTGTATTTCGTCGTCGATAACATACAACTAATAAAATTAAAATACCAATAGCAGCTAATGTTGGAAGTGTAACAGCAAGAATAATTACTAATGGTTTATTACGGCCATCAACTAAATTAGCTAAATCATCGGTTGATTGTTTAAGGTTTGTCTGCGTCGTTTTACTAGTTGATGAAGAAGCTTCAGTTGTTGTTGAACTCATTTTTATTTCATTTTTGATTGATCTGAAGAAATGAAAAAAAAGAAAGAAAGAAAGAAGATCTAAACCATCGAACAAATCGATCGATAGCTATACATAAGATGAATGAAGACTTGTTATATTTGACTCATCTTACGGTTTTTAATGATTGATAGATTAATCTATGTTTTTCTTTCTTTCGGTATGTATTTATGTGTTAATCGTCTCGTCATATATTGGCAATAGAAAAATGAAATACAGGACTAGAGACAGTTCAACAAATATCCAAAGGAGAAAAAACGGAGAGGATGATGATGATTCGTAAAAAGCATCAAACGGATAGACATATGTAGCCGAAAGAGAGAGAGAGAGAGCGGAGATATGCGCGAGCAGCGATGGTAACAACAACATAAAGGAGAAAAAAGAAACGCAAGAAAATGAAAAGATAGACTAAGAATGATTATATTCATTCTCGATGCACGCTGCTCGTCAATTTTGCCATTACTAAACGGCATGACACGAACAGACCATCAACCTTTCTTTGTTTTTTTTTTGACACTACCCTAGATCGAACTACGAAGGCAATGATATAGGTGTGAAATACGAACAAAAAAAAACACTTTTTTTCAAATAAAATCACAATACTTTTTCTTTTCTTCTCATTCTATTTTTGTTTATGTGACACAGATAAAGGACATTTGATGATTGCATAGATCGAATTTTTTTTGTCGCTCAGTCATTTGGACATTTCTCATGTTTTCTATATGGCTTTTTATACATGCAAGTATTGGCTCTTTTTTTTTCTTTAAACCATTCTTTGCTGTTAGATTCGACACTTGTTTTGTTTCGATTTATATTAAGAAAATAACAAAAAATCCTTTCAAATGACTTCATTATAACTATTAATGAAGTAATAATTCGAACTCTATACTTATTTGTTTCTTTTTTTTTTTCTTTCTCTTTTTCGTTAGACTTCGATGTTTCTCTTCTATTTTCTATACCTTGATCGAATCGTAATGTACCTCATTAAAATAAATTAAATAGGAACGAGATATATATTGTTACTGTCGATTATGAACACGATCAGCAATCACTTGAGGATTGGTTTTAGCCAATATTTTTCTTCCTACAGCTTTATAATCAATTGGACATTGATGTTCATTTGAATAACGACAATTTGAACAAAAATGTCCACCACATACACATGGATATTGTAAAATACCCATTAATTTTTTACAATTAGGGCATCGAATTTTTTTTGAAGTATACGCTTTTGTTAGCGGTTTTGATTGAGTTGATAGTGACAGATTTTCGACAGGCGATGAAATTGATACTGTTGGTTCGATGACAACATGTTCTTCTTTTATTTCAACAGAAATATCTTGTTGTTGTTGTTGTTCTTTTTCTTTCAATTCTTTCTTGTGTTGTATATAACATTGAGAACAAAACCCATCGTAAGAAGTATTTCCGAAGAAACCACAATTATTTTTGCATAGTTGAGGTATAATACTAGTAGTTAAATCTGTTGTTGATGTCATGTTCTTTCGTTTTTTCTTTTTTTTTTTTAAATAACAATTGATATTGACAAAAGTTTAATTGTGTTTAATAAATTGCCTATGCCAATATGAGAATGAGAACAGTAGAACAATAAATAGGAATAAAATAGTAATAAGAAGAAGCGGAAATTAAGATAAAAGACATGATGAAAGTGAATTTTATGAAAAAAACGCGCGAAATATTATAATCTTACTATCTAAGAGACGCTTATTTTTTGACTAGGCAACATTTGTTGCAATCATTAGATGTTTAATTATACCATCGCTGTTTTTTATTCACTTGAAAAATTTTTTTTTTTGAAGTAGAAAGATACGCAAACGCCTTTTTTTTCTTCTTTTCTCTGTTCTTTGCTACTGCTGCTGTTGTTCTCACCTGTTTTTAAAATGTACTACATCAATAAAGACTGCATATGCCTCCTTGTGACTTTTCTTATGAAAAATACAAAGAAAGAGAGAAAACAGAGGGAAAAAGAAAAAAAGGAAGAACATAGAATAATCTATAACGGTTGTTTCTTTTCTTTTTTATAATCTTAAGTACGATTGTCACTTTTTCACTTAATGCAAACAATATTAGACAGCTTTAGAATGACGATGCCGTCAAAAAAAAAAATCAGCGAAAGACCAAACAGAACCGACAAATGTAAGTTTATTTGACGAAGTTTTTCGACCTCGATTGCACTGGATGAAATTATTAAAAGATATTTAAACAAACACAAAAGAAACGGTCTGAAAAAATAAAAGACTTGAATAATGAATAAAATATAAATTGAAAAACGCATTTTCTATGATTGATACATAAAAAATACTTTTTTAGCTAATGATATCAAATGTGTTATTGTCAAAAGAATGGCATGATCATTAATAATTACTGAAAAGTAGGTAAATATATTTCTGTGTTACTGAAGAGAAATCAAATGACAAATACATGATGAAAAATTATTTTTTCTTTTTATAAATTACATTAACTAGTTGATGTCTAAGACTTTTTCTTGCCTATTTAAATATAGAGCTGTTGCCGTCTTTTGTTTTTGATAAAAATGTTACATAGACAAAAAAAAAGAATCATGTCACAATCGATATTTCATTGTTTATTATGTTTAATAAAATAACCTTATAAGATACATTCACAGATAGAACAAGATCGGATTGCATGTCATGATAAACTTCTATAACATTTCGAAAACAGAAAAGAACACAAAATGCTATGTGAGTATATAACCCTAGTCAAACTTTTGATCCGAATAAAATTTTGACCTAAGTTTCAAGACTTTGTCTCTTCATTTTCATTAAGCTAATTTTATTAGAATGATAGATTGACACTTTTCTTGTTCGTTTATTCATATATCAAGTTAAAAAAATGTGACGACTACGAAGTCCATTGACTTAAATTAAGTGTTGATTAAAAGAAAAAAAGAACACATAATGCACTTCTTTGTCATTTTAGATCTGTTAAATGTTTAGTGTTTTTATCTAAAAATTTATTTCAAGACTCATTAAAATATGAATTATTGTTTATTTGAATAAATCGTGAATAAAAAGTAAAAATATTTTATTAAAAACTAAATCTTAATAATTATTATAGATAAAACTAAATTGAAAATCGATATAAATTTAAATGTTCTTCAGCTGATATAGCTAATATATTTGAACTAAGTAGACTTGCTCGATAAGGCGTTGAAGAATACTTAATATTGGTTTTAAATTTTCCATCTTTTGAAATATGATAAACATGTGAATTAGTTCCATCAATAGCAAGCCATTCATTATAATTAATTAGACAACAAGTAAATAAACGAATATCAGATCCAATACTCAAATGAAGTAACCAAATTGTATCAAATGTTTCTGTCGATTTTAATTCCATACGTTTTTGATGTGTTTTTGAATCATTAATCATTAAAGCAAGCGTTTCATTGTTACACTTTATATCATTAATACCATCATGTTTTTCACATGTTAATGGAGGTTCCCATTGCTTAATTAATGCAAATGAAGGTAAAAGATTAAATTGAAATATTGATGAACCCCATTCACATGTTGATAGATAAAGAGATTGATTTGAACACGTACAAGAAAACCAAACTTGTTTAACAACATCAACTAATGAAGTAGAATATTCTAGAATTTCATTAATACAATAAATATCATTTGTTGTTATTATAATAAAACAGTTCCATGTTTCCGACCAACACATATCACGAATCCAATCATGAGGCCAAACATTTTGTTTTACTATTTTACAATCTCGATCAATTAAACATAAATTTGGAGATTGATGCATTAATAAAAATTCTTTATTACTTGCTAAAGCTGATGAACTGGTAGTTGAATAATTAAATTTTGAATAATTTGATGAAAGATTTTCAAAATTAAATTCTTTTTCAATATGAACATAACTATCATCTATAGTTAATAATCGTGTATTAATTTTAATAGATAGTTGTTCAATATCATTTAAATCTTGTTCAATAGACTGAATTATTGTTTTTATTATATCATTATTTTCTATATTCTTTTTATTTTCTTCATTAAGTTGATGTATATTTGTTTGTACATTTATTTTTTTTTCTTCATACGTATTTTTGATTTTCTTAATATAAACATCAAGTTCTTCGGACTTTCGTTGATAAATTTCATCGATTTGTTTATGACAATCATCACGCCACTGAGTAAGTTCTCTGAGTGTACCATTACATATTTCATTAATATTAATATCTTTGAGTCGTTTATTATATAAATTTACCATGTTGTCGTTTGAATCCAATTGTAAATTACTCATACTTTATTAGTTTAACGTTTTTTCTTCTTGACAAAATTTCTTGTCTAGAATAATAAGAAGAACGACTTTGTATGAGATTTTTCTTTTTTCATATATATTTAAAATAAAAAGTGTCACATGGTAAAAAGAAAAAGAAATGTTGTTATTATTGGTTTCTGTTGTTAACTAGAAAAGGAAACAGAATATGTAAGAACAAATATTCCCTGTTCTTTAACTATACATCACTTTTCGAAACATTATGCAAACTAAAGTCAACAGAAACAAAAAGAAAAGAAAAGAAACACGAAATTTTTTACCGATCTTCCATAAACTGTTGTAAAACATTGCAATGAAATTAGTGAAGATGCCAGCTGAATCGTTTCTTCTTCCAATGTTGGCAGTTATTAGGACTTCTACGGTGAAGCCGGTAAGCACATGAAGAACCTTTGTTGATGCAAGATACATTAACAATGTTAGCTTCTATAGCCATGAATTGATTTGAATAATAGAAAAAAAAACGATCATGGCCGTAGGTTTCTAACGTGTTTGCCTTCCTTTATGGTAATGCTTGAAAGTGCATTTCCAGCGGTTATAGAAGTTTTAAACTTTGACGGTAGTGATAGTTAATAATATTAAAATCTCTTATTGTGTGTCAGCAATACCAATGGTAGAAAATACGTTTGCAAAATATTAGACAACAGCAATGTCAAAAAAAATGATTATGCGAATCGAAAATAATTTATATTCTATTATCGGTTTTTTGTGCACTAACAGCGTTTGAAGTGTTTGATAATCGTTTGTGTCAACAGCAACAGTGACTCAGCTGTCTGCCTTACACTTATAGCTATATCGCCGTTTGTATCAAAATTCAACAGAAAGCAAAAATCAATATAACAGTGAAGCTTTCATTCATATTTTAATTTTATTATTAAAACATTGTGTCAGAGAACAACGTATTGATATTCGTTTATTCAAGAGTTAAAACTAAAAATGTTTGATAGAAGATATTTTATTTCATTATTTGTTATACAAAAAAAAAATATTTATCACCGACCGACCTCAAGTATAAAATAGGTTATTTTAATCGATTTTTTTGTCTAGATATAATCACAAGTATTTTATTTCATTGAATTAAATTTGTTTATATACAATGTAATTTCTACAAAACAAAGAAATCTTCTATCAACTGAGTCTGATGTTGTCCATTTAAACTTAAAATAAGAATGATATTCGAATGTATATTTTAGCAATTTATTGCTTTGAATTTGATGCACAAAAAAAGAAGAAAAGTAAAAAAAAGAAGCGACATAAAAAAAAATATTGAAAGAACAAAATGATTTGTGAAGCACGATTATATTACAACTAATGACCTTCATTTTAATCTTGCAATACATGATTATATTATATCTTCATATTATAATGTTTCAAATATTGTATTACATTCTAATACTGATGAATTGCCAACAAAAAGAGTCGTAGCCACATAATCAAGCGGTCATAAAGTCGAAATAAAAAAAAACCTTTAAAATTTCAATTTGAAGTCCGTGTCTACCGATGAAGGTTGCTTCCTAATTAAACTGACATCATTTTATTATACCATATAATCTTGTAAGAACACTAAAATAATGAATCCATCTATGGATTGCATGATGATTAGATTTACTGTTCGTCTCGATAAGCCATACTAAAACTAGACTTTGTAGTTTTTCGAACGCAAAATATCATTAAAAAAGATACATGAGTCATTTTTGCACAAAAAAACGATAATTCAATTGGAAAATGATAAAATATAACAATACTCAGTATGAAAATAATTTAAAGATGTTTCACACAACAAAGAAATATCTTTATTTATTGAGTGTTTAGTAAAATAAAATCGCATTTTGTAATAAATAAAAATATTACTGAATTCAAATCATAAAATTTCTATTGCTATTCAAATAACCTAGTTACTCTATTGAAACTTCAACACTTTAGATGAAATTATTTCGGCCTAATTTGCATAAAAAAAAAGATTTTTCAATAACGTATAATTTTTTATCATTAAATCATAAGATGTCGTTAGTCTACCGATGAACATGATTATCTTGAAACAAAAAAAAATAAAAATCAATCGAAATGAATTTTGTAAATTCTAAGCCTAAAAATCTTCTATAATATTTTATGTTGAATTTTTCATCTAAAAAAAAAACCTATCTAAAATCTATTCACACATCATCGATTGGTTGGTCTTTGTCTGCGAAATTCAATTCAACTGATCATTGAATTTTCTTTTTTTTTTATTTTATTTTATTTTTTGGATTTTCTTTTTTTTTGCGTCAATCATTATTATATAATATGTTATCCCGTTCATCATCATTTACTTCATCTTGTACGGAATCTATAAATGATAATTCAAAATCAACAGGAAATTTTCGTCATCATGAATCATTACAAAATCTTCAACAATTTCAAAGACAAAATCGTCCTATACTTTCACGTCCATTAAATATTAAAAATAATAATCAAACTAATTTACCCATTATATCTCAAAATATAAAACGAACAACAAATACAATTCTTATCCCAACAGAAAATTTACTAATAAATTGTTTAAATAATGATAAAAAATATGAACAAAAAATTGATACAATGAAACGTACAATTATACAAGATGATTTAGAAAATATTCAAGAACGTTTAAATGATATGCTTATATCTGTTCATCCAGGAAATAATAATGATACATTATTAATACAAACAGAACCAACATCAACAACACAATATTTTACACCAAAAATTTCAATTGATGAAAATGGAAAGAAAAAACAAAATGAACATGATAATCAATCAATTAATGATGATGATGATAATGAGGATGATGAACTTTATCGTAAATATTTCATTTTATATTTATATGTATTTATTAGAAAATTTTTGTTTTTTCTTAGCTGTAAATAATGAAATGCAATCAGCGACACATCCATTTTTTGATATTTTATCAACGACATCATATGAACAAGAAGTTATGAAATATTTACTTAGTTTAGAAGAACGTTTTATAAATGAAAATGAAAAATTACGTTCAATGAAACGTCATCGTGAATTAACAAATAATTTAAAACCAATTCAAGGTATAGCAATATCAGGTAGTAATTCAACGGTTTTAATTACACCTAAAGTTCGATGTAAACTTATTGATTGGATTATTTCTGTACATGATTATCATCGATTAAATGCAGGTAAACAAATTTAGAAGTTTTTTTTTTTGATAAGACAATATTTTATGAATTTTAGCTATACTTTGTCGAACTATTCATTTGATTGATAGGATTTTACTTTTAAATGATCAAATGACAAAACTCGATTTACAACTTCGAGCTGTTAAGTAAGAATATTTATATATTTGAAACTTGAAGTTTTATTAAAGAGATAAAGTTGCTTTATAAATGAGAATTATTCTCACTCTCCGGGAAGGGCGAACACCTATTTAAGGGAACACAAACTTAGACTAGATTGCAGAGATGAGTTCATTTCGTTTTCCAGTATTTAAAATCAACTTCTGTTTTGAGAGACAAAAACCAACCTCATTTCTGACACGTAGTACAATAACTATAAAGCTTGGAAGGGCGCCACTCTCATACTGCATGGAACATTGGTTTGAATAGACGATAGTTTTCAAGATTCAGAAGACTGAAAATTAATTTTGAAGAGTACTACCTTACAGAAAATTAAATCTTTAATGGAATGAGGGTTAAAGCATTTCCTAGGACCTTCTCTTACAAATTTGTAAATACAACAAAAAATGAAAAAAAAAAAAAACAAGTGAAATTTGTCATAGGATTAGTAAAAAATGCTTATAAGTTCTTATGGGAAGACTGTAGGAAATGTGACCATTATTCACTGTATCCAAGATTTGTCCTCTTTAAGATGTTACTCTTAGAAACTATTTTTTACAGTCTTGTGATACCTGAAAATTACTATGTTTGGTTTTTGACAAACCATCCTTTTATAGTTTATCTACAAAATTCGATATGGGATGGATTAAGTAGGGAACATCATTAACTACTCGAACCGTTACTTAGACGTGATTTCAATGCTGGGTACCACAGCAATAAAATTAAAAATACGTTGGTGTTTTATATTTGACCAGTACTGTATATTATTTCTTCTTCATACATCCATTTACGATAATTGAGGAGTTAAAATTAATTAAAATCAGTACTGTATGTAGTGAACTATTGTGTGAGTGTCCGATCGACAAGTTGAACTATTCTAGTATATAGATGTTATTCGTATGAAATGATTGAAATCTAAATAAAATATAATTTCTAGTTGCTTCACAATTGCATGTAAACTTGAATCACGTCGTGTACCTGATACTAATTCTTTATTATCTTTATTCGATGCTCGACATCATGTAACTCCTCTTCTTTTAAATCAAGGTGAAAAACAATTATTAACACAACTTGATTTTGAACTTGGTTTGTTGAAATCTTTTTTTTATTTACTTTTATTATTATTTTCTATGCTTTAAATCAAATAGAATATCCATTAGCAATACATTTTCTTTGTTATTATCTTCGTTTTTTACCATTTCATTTTATTGTTTATTCATTATCAAAATATATGATTGAATGTGTTCTATGTGATGATATTTTATCAGAGCAAATGCCCGGTTCATTATTAGCTGCTGCAGTTTTACTCTTAGCATTAAAATTTACACGTCAATTAGATAAACCACAAATAGTTAAACGTTTTTATAAACATCAACCATATAAACGTGAAGAATTAGATAAACGTGCAGAACAAATTCTTAAACTTATGCAAAATGTACCACGATCTTTATATCATACAAATGTACGTGAAAAATATAAACGAAATGAATTTGATCGTGTTGCTAATTATCAATATAGTAATGATCTTGGTAAATAATCTTATTATAATAATAATAATAATAAATTTTTAATTATTTATTTTAGTGGTACCTGTCAAATAGAATACAAAAAAAAAATATAACAACAACAATAATGTGCATGACT